TAAAAACATAAAACAAAATGTTAAGTAACAACTATAAATTGTTATTGTTTCATTTTCTCTGCACTATTTTATTTAATTAATTTATTTAATTTATTTAATTAAATGTCTTAAAATTGTATGTGCTTTGTGTGAGCTCAGGAGTTCGAAACCAGCCTGAGCAAGAGCAAGACCCCATCTCTACTAAAAATAGAAAGAAATTAATCAGACAACTAAAAATATATAGAAAAAATTAGCCGGGCATGGTGGTGCATGCCTGTAGTCCCAGCTACTTGGGAGGGTGAGGCAGTAGGATTGCTTGAGCCCAGGAGTTTAAGGTTGCTGTGAGCTAGGATGACGCCATGGCACTCTAGCCCGGGCAACACAGTGAGACTTTCTCAAAAAAAAAAAAAAAAATTGTATGTGCTGCAAAAAAAGGGGGGAGGGGCAAGCAAGATATATTCTTTTAGATTTAGGGAAGATTGATTAAAGGCTAAAAATACAATCAATGGGTGACCAAAAATATAATCTATAATCTTTATTCATTCCACAAACTTTAACAAAACAAACTCTTCACATTAAGAAATGTGTAAGTAACACAGCAGAACATAGGTAAATATTGGCCATAATTGATCAGATTCTTTTCACTCTTCATCTTTCCCAACACTCAAGTGTCTGGCCATAAAAGTTCTCCAAATACTCTGGTTAAATGGACGTCTCTAATAACCTCGCCCTTCTCATCTCCTTTCCGTCTATATCAGAGACAGACTTCTTTTACCTGTGTTTCTGATCTGTTCCTTTCCTTTTATCCACAATTTTGCTCTAAGTTAACCATCCCCTCTTGCTGCTTTAAACTATGATGTATTTTCTCCACTGCTTCAATAATGCTCAAGCCTCTAACAGAGACCAGGGATTGAATACCACTAAAAGGAAAACCTCGTACATACTATATAAATATAGGAATTGCCTGGCACCAGTGCCTAGTACACTGCTAATTGCTCTTCCTTGTCTTCACTCTTGAAGCAACTTTTCCTTTTTATCCCTTGAAACCAAACTTCTAACTACTACTTTACCTTTGCCATCTCTTATTTCCTTATATCCCATCACCATTCAATCCTAAACTTCAAATCCTAGTACCCTCAAAAATTTCAATGGCCAAGGTTTTAAAATTTATTTATAATCTTTTTTTCCTATTTTTAATCACCCAGCTAATTCTTTCTATTTTTTTAGTAGAGATGGGGTCTCACTCTTGTCAGGCTGATCTCGAACTCCTGACCTTCAAGTGATCCTCCTGCCTTGGCCTTCCAGAGTGCTAGGATTACAGGTGTGAGCCCAACCTCAGTGGCCAAGTCTTTAATCTGTGACCACACCCTTGGTATTATACAAAATATCATCTTCAGGCAGCAATTAAATTGAAGAGATCTGCATTCTTATCCCAGCTTTGCCATTAGTAATGTGCCCTTGGTTGAATTATTAATTTCTTAGAAAACCAGTTTCCTCACCTATAATTTAATGTCTATTCAGGGTTGTGGGAATACATCTCTAGTTAGATATGTATATTTTATAAAGTGCCTGACATGCCATAGGTGTTACATTAAGTACTAATTCCTTCTCCCTCCTCCCTTTCAATTTTCTCCAGGGCACATCCAAAAGTGACTCCTGGATGTCTCCCTTTATCTCTTGGTTGCTTCCAAGTTTGAGTCCTACATGCCCAACCGCTTGCCAAAAATTTCCACATGACTGTTTACACTTCACTCAAACTCAACCTGTTCAAAAATCAAACACATTTTCTTCTCTGCTAAATATGCTTTTGATGACTTGTGTTAATGGTATCACCACCCTCTCGGCATTTAGAATGTAGGGACAAAAGGCGCTTATAAACCTATCAGATGCCAAGGTCCATGAACTCCTTTAGCCCACATCTTTCCCCTCCTCTCCATTCCCACTACAGACTTGCCAAATTCAGGTTTTACTCACCTTTCCTACCAAGTCTCTGCCTGCTGCAACATAAACTACTACAAATGGAACAGTTTTGATCATACTATTCCACTGCTTAAAACCTTTAATGTTTATCCACAGCCTAAAAATGAGATTCTAATATATCAGACAGACCCAAGCTTGTCAGGCCCCAAACTACTTTCCAGTAGCCTCTGGAGTCAAATTACTGTACTATTTTCTTCTCAGCACTGCTGTCCCTTGATCACTATTTCCCATACCTGAAATCCTAAAACTGATACCTCTTCTCTTCCCAAGTCTTCACTGATTCCTCATGGCCATCCCATCCTACAATAAGGCTCCCAAAGAACGCTGTTCTAACACATATTAAGGTAACCTTAATGTGTGATAGTGTTATGGCTTACATCCTCTATACAGCTGTCCCCAGCCTTTTTGGCACCAGGGACTGGTTCTGTGGAAGACAATTTTTCCATTGGGGGTGGGGGGATGGTTTGGGGATGATTCAAGCATATAACATTCATTGTGCAGTCAAACCTCTCTGCTAATGATAAACTATTTGCAGCCGCTCCCCAGCACTAGCATCACAGCCTCAGCTCCACCTCAGATCATCAGGCATTAATTCTCATAAGGAGCATGCAACCTAGATCCCTCACACGTGCAATTTACAGTAGGGTTCACGCTCCTATGAGGATCTAATGCCACTGCTGATCAGAGTATATGCAGTGATGCGAGGGATGGTGAGCCACTGGAAACACAGATGAAGCTTCACTCACTCACTCACTACTCATCTCCTGCTGTGTGGCCTTATTCCTAACAGGCCAGGGAGCAATACCGGTCTGTGGCCTGGGGGTGGGGACTGCAACTCTATTAGACCATTATGTAAGAGACTTAAGTCTTATGTCATCTGTTAGACTAGTCAGAGACCCTCGGTTGTCCTGCAGTACTTAGCACACAGCTGTGCAGCTGAGCAGGCACTCAAAAGTTTGTTAATTGAAGATTAGATCTGGAAGAATCAAGATTACAGGGAACTAATCAATAATATTTCATGAGTGGGGAGAAATAGTTAAGAAGCACTACAAATCAAGTTGGCACAAGATGAATTTTAAAGTCAGGTTAATTTCCCCAAAAGAAAGTTCCAATTTTGCAGAAGAGTTGGCATTAGCAACATACACATACCATAAATGCAATTTGCAGTCCATAAAGATTAGAACTGAATTGAAAATTTGAGGAAAATGAACAATGATAAGAAAGTACTCATTTTGCACATTTAAAAAGGTCCAACTAACCTCTTCCCTTTTTCAAAGAGTCAATATCCTTCCTAATTTTAGTTTCAAAGTAAAAACTACTGATGGGCCTTTTCAGGATTAATAGAAAACTTTGCTTAATTAATGTGCTTGATGTCAACTTCCATAATGTCTAAATCAGAATAAAATACGTCCGATCTTAAGAATACACTAAGAACTCTCTTTCATTGAAAACATTCAATAGTTTTTGTCTTGGGAGAAAAATGTACTTGAAATCTTTTAACAATTATTGTACCATTTGTATAAGTTCTCATTTATTCAACAAGTATTTGTCAGGCACCTGCTTTCGTGCAGGAGAGAGGAGAACAGAAACTCTACCCTCACGGAGCCAATATTTCAGTGAATTTTACCTTCAGAAAACAAAGTCAATGTCCAACTCTGAATTATTTGGAGCATTATCAAATTTTCTGATCAAAAATTAGGAAATATAATTTTGCTATTTTGAAAATAATCACTACTGAAGTTTTACAAGACACTGTCCAATACCAGTTGTAAGTACTGCAGTTAAGACATTTTATGTACCCATCAGTTGAAGAAATATCATTTTTAGGATAATTTATAAGGCAATAAATGGTCTCAACTGCAGTGTAACTGGAGAGTCCCATATTATAGCACTGCAAATGTAAAGAAAAGTTACCGCACCATAATTGTGTTACAAGTAAAATTACAAAATCTCATTGTGAGATGAAGCAAGTTTTTAACGCCAAATCAACACCTCTCAAACTACTATATCTAATTTTTTCTATGTTGGTTTATCTCTAGCGTTTGGAAAAAGAAGATACTACAACTCAACCCATGACATTAGTTCCCATTCCGTAACTGCATTTTAAATCAATGGTCAAGTCCCCTCCTCCCAAATCGATTCTGACAAACAGCATGTACTCTCCACTCGAAAAGTAACACCTGGAATGATCAGAAATACTAGTAGAGAGCTTTGAGGCGGCCAGTAGCTTTGTTCCCGGCTTTGGGAGGTTTTCACATGTAAATGTTCTAGTAAAACGGAGTCGAGGATTAACTACCTCGGGAGGGGGTGTGAGGGTAGGGAACTGGAGGACAAGGAGGCTTTCTAGCGGACCAAAGCAGAGCAAAGACTCTTCTCTCTCATTCAACTTTTTAGGTGTCACTTTGGGGCCACAGAGCCGATAAGAGGGTTATGTTCACGACTCGAAATGATAAGGAGCCATAACCCCATTTCCCAAGTGAGTGAAACCCGGAGAAGGGGGATGAACACCTCCAACTCCTCCCCGACTCGGGATCAGAGTCCAGCCGTCGACGCGCCGCGGCCTGAGCAACAGGAGAGCCGAAGCCACCGCTCCGCCAGCCCCACGGCCGGCAGATGCTCCCGCTCCCCCGCCCCCAACCCCACACGCCCGCCCGCGCTTCTTTCTTAGCCCCTTGCGGGCTCCCGGCACCGCGAAGCCCATAACGGGGCGAGGAGCAGAGAGCGAGGGCGCTTGGACCCGAAAAGGGGCGAAGTTAGAGGAACCCGCGCCAACGCGGGCTGGGGGAGGCCGCAAGGGGGCGAGGGGGACAGCCCTAGGTCGCCGCCCGGGGGTGGGCGGTGGGGGAGGGGTGTGGGGTCAGTTCCCGTGGTCGCTGCGACCTCTCCCGAGCCACAGGCCGCTCCGCGCAGGCCCCGCAGCCCCGGAACCGGGGCAGGAAGCGTCCCCACCCCGACCAAAGCTTTAAACCTCCGGCGGCGGGAGAAACGGGCCCTGGCTCCTGCAGCAGGCCCGGCACCCCCCTGCCCCGAGCACCCCTCACCTCCTGGTTGAAGGCGTTGACGGCGTCCATGTTCGCGCTGCGGCGGCGGCTGCTCCGGGCCCGCCGGTCACATAGACCTCGCGCCGGGGCGGAGCGAGGCCGGGGAACCGACTGGGACTGGCAGCGGGGGGAGGCGACGAGCAGCAGAGCCTAAGGCCGGGCAGGAAGAGGCTGCGGCCGACGCAGCGAGGCGGGCGGCAGAGACGGAGGGGTGGCGGGCCCCTACTCAGTCCCGTTCGCAGGGTGAGGAAAAAGAGGCGGCGGCGGCGGCGCTGGGCTCCAACATGTCCGTTTGGTGGTGGCGGCTGCGCTCTGCGTCTCGCTGACACTGCCCCCCGCGCCCTCACGCACTAGCCGACACTAGCCCGGCCGGCGAGCGGGCGGGCCTCTCTCTCCCTCTCGCCAGCGGGATGGCGGCAGCGGCCCGACTCCACGCCGCGCGGGGCACCCTGGGACAGCTCTGGCCTCCCGGCGCTTCCTGTGCCCGGCTCCTGCCCCGCCCCGCCCGCGCTGGCCCCGCCCCCGCCCCGCCCCACGCGCCGCTTGCCCGCTTGCCGGCGCGTGACGACGGGACGTCGGGCTTTTTCCCGCCGGCGGGGGCAGCGGGCCGGGGGTACGTCCCGGGACCGGAGCCCGGCTCGGGCGAAGAGCGTCACGGAGCGCAGGAGCCCAAGGCCGCCGAGGTGGCCCGGAGTCGCGCCTCCGTGCTCCCGCCCGACGCGGCGCTCCCGGTGCGTGCCCGTGTGCGGTTCTGCCCGAGGAGGCCCGGCCGCGGCGGGCAGGCCCGGAGCCCTCGGTCTCGGCAGCCTGGAACAAAGGGCGCAGGATTTAACCTCAGCCTTTTGGGCGCGTGTTTGCAGGCTCTCGTGCTCTCTGCGGAGAAAAGCCTCTGCCGGTGCAGGTCTGCGTCTGCTCGACTTGTGCGGGCTGGTTCTGCGCGAGCTAAAACACCGAAAAGGACGTGCAGCCTTGTGCCACGGGAGGAGTGGATTCGCCAAACTCTTACGTTGATTGCCCAAACCAAGTTTTTCTTTTTTGCCGAGAACGCTTTGTCCTGATCACTTTCTTTGAGTACCTTCTGTCTGCCTGGTGTTGGGGACACGGAAATAAAAAACAATTGTTCTGCCTGCAGACACCTTGGTTTAGTGGGGAGTACAGGCAAGTAAGCAGATGATTATCAAAGCATGCGAACTGTTAGGGCAGAGGCCCGGGGGAACAAAGAAAGAAACTCATCGGACTAGAAGTCCAGGAAAGCTTCCCAGAGGAAGTGACACCCAAGCTACATCTGGAGGGAGGAGAAGTGGGGGGCGGGAGGCGCCTACTGAGCCTGATGAGTTACTGCACCATCACCTCCCCCTGAAGGAGGACCAGTCAGGAGTGAGGTAGACTGAAGGAGAGGCTGAGACTAGATCCTAAAGAGCCTTTGCCCTTTCAAAGAGTTTGGATTTTGTCCCCAAGGCAGTGGGAAGTCATTGAAAGATTGTAAGAGGAAGATGGGGTCATGTAATGTGCTCCTAGAAAGAATGGGGTCATGGAAAGAATGGCCCTAGTCCCTGAGGGTGATGAGGGCTGAAGGTGATGGCAGTGGAGGAGAGACATAGGCCGATGTTTGGGAAGTGGGGTGGAAAGGCTGGGATAGAATGACTGTGAGGTTGAGAAAGGGGGGTGTCAAGGAGGATGCTAAGGGTCTGGCTTGGAGAATAGCATGGGTGATGGGTTTATGGGGAAGAAGGAGTGGGTTTGAGAGGAGGCAGAATAGTGGTTAACACCTGGAGATCGCTCACCACATGCCAGGGTCTACCTGACGTGTTATTCTGTGCTATTTAATCTCCATAACAGGCTTCTGTGTGAATTGGCTATTAGTAATGCTCTTATTTTATAGTTAAAGGAGTGAGTTAACTAATGTGCCCAAGTCACACAGCTGGATGATTTCCATCTGGGGCCTGTGGAGTTTGAGCTGCCCCTGGGACAAATAAGGGAGGATGTCTAGGAGGCAGTTGGGTAAACACGTGTGGAGTCAGGAGAGATGGCTGAGAGGAGATAGAGATCTGGCAGTCATTAGTGCACAGCTAGTGGTGGAAGGAGCTGAAACAGCCAGGGAAAAGAGACCAGGGATGCAGGTATGTTGGGGATAAGCAGAGGTGAAGAAAAGAGCTCTGGAGAAGTGGTCAGCCCTGTCCAATGCTGAATAAAGATAGAAGTCCAACGAGGTAAGAATTGGAAAGTGCCTGATAGATTGAGCACCAGTAGCTGGAGTGGAGAGGACAAAAGCTAAACTGATGTGCATAGAGGAGGGGGAGACAGGCAGGAGAAATTTTGGAGAACCTTGGCAGTGAAGGCAAGTTGCGAGGATGCCAGGAAAAGCCTACGGGGAGACAGGAGAGTGTTTGCTTGTTTCTTTAAAATGAGAGAGATGTGCTTTTAATTATCTGTTGAAGGAACAAACAGGATAGACTCCACGTTTTAGTTTTGAGTCCACCCCTCATCTACTTCATTGTCACTGCATCTCACTACCTTTCTGTCTCTCAGCTGAACTGCCACTGTATTTTCCAAATCCATTTTGCTTCTGTAAGAGCTGCCATCCACAGCACTACTGACGTTGCATTAGAAAGTTCAGTCATTAGTAGACACTGGCATTTCTGGATATCCGTTGTCTACCAAATACTGTCCAAGATCTCCCCACCATGTTTCCAGCCTGCTGCCATGGCACAACCCAAGTTTTGTCATTCCTTGTACACATCTGGGAATTGAAGGGCTGGGCCTTTGCTCTTATGGAAACCCCTCCTTGCTTCTCTGTGTAGGCGAGCCATTTAGCATCTAGTTGATGTTCGGAGGTCACTTCCTTTCATTCATTAATCATGTGTTGAGTATGTACTTTGTGCCAGGCACTGTGCTGAAAGCTTCCCCACTCTCCTCCCAGCCAGTCTCAACTTCTCCCCCAATATGCTTTCATGAGCCCACTATAGCACTTCTTACCTTGTATTGCTGACAACATGAAAAAAAGTCTGCATTATTATTCTAATATTATATGCACCTGCCCTGCCTCTACCTCTTTCTGTGAACAGTGGCAGAACTTAAAAATGGGCCCACAAAGCCGAATGGGATCCCCCTTCCTCAATTCTTACAAACAATTGTCTTTCCTCTTGTGAGTCAGGGAAATGGATTTGGCTGGAAGGGTGAAATCTTGAGTTGGGGTTGGAAAGGGGCTTGAGAGGAGGCTGGTGAGTTCAGCTGTGGACATTGTTGCCTTTGAGACTCAATGTATTATAGCTGTTGGGCTCTATAATGGTTGCTGAATGAGAGGATGACAGTCCAATAGGGGATATTTTCTGTGTAGCATCGTACTGAGATTTGAATGCACAAGAAACAAGATTTGGCTTCTAAGATCCATTTGTTTGAGATAGATAACAGATTTAGGAGGTTATTTTCTGGAAAGGGTTATTTGGTTTTTATGTTGAGGTGTTTGGGAAGTCTTTTAACAAGTTGTTGGTGAATATGTGTCATCAGCTAGACTTTGGGTGCCTTGGCAGCATTTTCTAGCATTTTTCCATTCTAAAGACAGCGGCTCCTCTATCTGCTCTGGGACATCTGGCAGCCATTTGCACAGCCACTGCTGGACTTCCATCTCTCTCTCTCCGATCAGACAAGTCAAATCTTCCAATAGGAAATTTTTGGCAAGTGACAAAAACTGACAAGGGTTGTCCTTTGTAAGCAGAACTTGAAGCAGTAGGAATGCAGCCTATTGAAAAGATAGCCAGAGGATCGTAAATAGATGTGACTGATAAAAATCAGCAAGACGTTTTATCCACTTGCAAACTTGCCTTCTTTCAAGAACATAGATTTAGGCCGGGCGCGGTGGCTCACGCCTGTAATCCTAGCACTCTGGGAGGCGGAGGCGGGCGGATTGTTC